AACAACAATGCCAAAGCTATATACATCTACTTTTTCTGTGATCACTGAGTTCAACCATTCTGGGGCCATATAACCCGGTGTTCCCCTCATTGTTGTCACAATTTGGCTTTGCTCTCTCCCTACTAGCTTAGACAACCCGAAATCAGAAACCTTAGCATTGAAATTTTCATTCAAAAGGATGTTTTGGGGTTTGATATCCAAGTGAATTATTTTCTGCCTGCATCCCCCATGAAGATATGCTAGACCATTGGCTATCTCTAGAATGATCTTCCTTCTGCATTGCCAACCAAGAGCAAGCGCTTTGTCTCTGCAGAATATCCATTGATCCAACGACCCGTTACACATGTACTCATAAACCAAAAGCATACGTGATTTCTCAGCACAGAACCCAACCAGTCGTACCAAGTTGAAATGGTGAATGCTTCCTATGGTCTCAACCTCAGCTATAAATGACCTCTTTACAGGACCAAAACCATCAAGGCATTTCACTGCAATTTGAGCACCACAAGGTAATGTTCCTTGAAAAACACAACCGAATCCTCCCTCTCCTAGCTTGTTGCTAAAATTGTTGGTTGCAATCTTTAACTGTTCATAAGAGAATCTCGCGGGTGTTCCTGAGATGTGACCCAGATAATCCTCCTCAACATCCTTTGGATCCTTTTTAATTTGTAGTAAAAAGACAGTGGAGATAAGAAAGCCAATAAAAGTGGCTCCTAGAGTGATTGCAAGTATAACTCCCACCTTGCTTCTTTTCTTTCTTTGTGGATTTGGTCCGATTGGAGAGCTCTGCACTGTGATTGAACTTTGTACCTTTAAAAACACAGATGAATTGTATTCTACATCCACTTCTCTTTTGAATGACAAAGCTTCATATCCAAAGAAGCACAAGGTAGACAGTTCAAAACTAGAACCATAACTTTGAAAAACAGCATACTTGCAAGAACAGTTGTTTAAACAGGCTTGCTTGCAGCTCTCGATGTCTCTTATATTAGAATTATCTTGAAGGTAGCTAGCAGAGCGAGAAACATGCTTGATCTCCAGAAGACTTTCATGGGAAGAAGACTTACAAGATAGTGGTACATTAGGAGAACACCCAAGATCTGGATGATCAAAATTAATCATCTTGAAGTGCGCTGTATTGTTTTCATCTGGTTCTGGGCAATTGCATCCTCCTCCCATTGAACAAATTCCATATTCTCCGCACACCAGCGGATAATCACATCGATTGAGTTCATTCTTAAACAAATCATCGACTTCCTTCCATTCTGATTCTACCCAACTAAAAGACCTTAAGTGCCCATCAGATCCTAATTGTATAAAACTAACTCCAGCCCGTGGAAAAGTGAAAGGACCAAAATTAGTGTCGTTGAATTCAGCATAAAACTGCGATTTTTTTTTTTTTGTTTGAGACACAGAGAACTGGTGGTAATAGTCTAGGGTGGCATATGACCCTTTAGAAGCAAAAAAATAACCATAAGAACTATCAATTGAAAATGAATATAAACCCTCCGTCCAATCTGTGGCTGACATATTAGCTTTCAGTTTCTGCCCAGAAACAAGCCTCTGTCCGAGAACTAAACAATCTGTTGGATGATCAAAAGACTGCCAAACTGTCTCATTGTTTCCATCAAACAGTATAAGGTTACCCTGATGAGTTAACTTCATTCCTGAAACAAATTTACCTGTTGTGTTTGTAGACCAAACCAGAGTGTCATGATCATCTTCCAGTGTTAAATCCCCTTCTTGAGAAAATTGCAATTTTGCCCCAAGTCCAATCGGCTTGTTTCGATTAGCAGACCATACCATTTGTGTAGAAAAGCTAGACTTGCTATCAAGATTAGATGGGAAGATGGAAATAGCAAAGAGGCAGGGGGTTCCTTCAATTTTGCAGTGGAAGCCACAAACGAAACTCCCATTAAGCAAGATAGGTCTCACCCCTACTGATTCCCAAAAACTGAAGCCAATTGGGACGTCGTTAGTCCAAGAGACGGGTGGCATCACAGTTGATGGATAACCAAAAACTTCAACATTTGTCAGAAGCAATGATACTAGAAACAGAGGTAGAAAGGTAGCAAGAAAGCAGACAGTATTCCTTCGCCCACCAACTACCATTGCTCTTATAATTGATTGCTCCAATATTATATAATTGAGCTGCAAGACAAGTTAAATGAATTAACAAGAAACAAAATACAAAGCAGGAAGGACTAGTATGATAGTATGTAGATTTCTTTTTTCCTTAAATGTAAACTTCACTCAGCACTCAATGTGTATACTTCAAATTCCTAAAGCATAACAAAAAAATTAAATTAAATTAAGAAGCTTAATTTTAACAAGTTTAAAATAAATTAATTAACTTTGATAGTTTATCATATTTTCTATCAAAATAAGAAATAAGAAAACAAATAACTATTACCATTTCTTCCCTTAAAAATGATTATTCTGTATGTCGGTCTTAATCTAAAACAAAATTATCAACGAAAAATTAAACATATCCATATCGCAACTAATACTAGAAGCTACAGGACAGAAATTTCCATCTCCTTTGTTATCATATTGGAGGTAATTTTATGATTAAAAAAAAAAAGAGGAAAACTCACCCTTGCAAGTTGCAACAGAGAGACCAAGGCCAAATTTTCTTCACATCTCCTGCATCCTTGTCGATGGAGATATATGCTAGACCCTTGGCCAACCAAAAGTAAGCGCTTTGCTTCTGCAGAATATCCATTGAATTCAGCTCTGCAAACTTATAATTCTTAGTCAACTTAAGCAGCTAAGTCAATGCCTTTCAAGGTTATAAGGAAATTAAAGCTTTTCCTAATTTAAGCAGTCAATTCGCAGTTTACTTTCGTTTTTTTCTTCTTTTTTTTTTTTTTTTT